CACATACCAGCTGCAGTATTTTCCTGTAATAGGAATCAACATGGTATACCATCTACATTAAGTACACTTAGCCAAACAAGATGGGGATCGTCAATAAAATTTATGGAGCGAATACAAATATGTAAGAAAGCACTTAAAGCATCAGTTGTTGACGGGCGCGTACGCAGGAATTTGGTCTGGAGGGGGGGATAATAAAATTTTTTAAGAAATATTATTGTTTTTTAAAAATATCAAGCATAAATTTATTAGGACTAATAACTATTTCTAATATACAATTTTAAATTAATGTGAATTATAAAAAAATTATATGTAAAGAATCACTTAAATGACCCAAAATAGAAATTTGAATTTTTTAAGCCTTTACACAAAAAGTTTCTTAGGAATAATTGCATTTTGTATGCTATACATTTACAATGTAAAATCCAATCTTCGAAGTGATTGAGCTAATTTTTCAATTATCTCATCTTTGCTTGTCGTCAAATGCCTATGAATATTCAAAAGATCCAAACTTTCAATCTACTTTCAGATGTTGTACATCTTGGTATGTTTTTCAGAGACCTGCAGGCCCCGCCCCTGGCCGGACAGTATTTTAATTTTTTTAAATATACCCGGGCCGGGCCCGAAATTTTTTAAAAAACACCCAGGCCGGGCCTGAATTATTTAAAAAAACACCCAGGCCGGGCCTGAATTATTTAAAAAAACACCCAATCCAGGCTGTATTTTGTAAAATAGCCTATATTTAAAATCGTTATTATTAGCTATAAAAATCATAAAATAAATATAATTTATTTTAAAAAAATCCGGGTCGGGTCTGAAAATTTTATTTAAAAAAAAACCCGGGCTGGGCCTGAAAATTTTTTTAAAAAAAGCCAGGCCGGGCTTGAAAATTATTTTAAAAAAAACCCGAGCTGGGCAGTAAAAATTTTTAAAAAAATCCGGGCCGTGCCCTGCAAATGGTATATCTTCAGGGCTCTGTTATTCTTCTTAAAAAAGAGTATGTTCTATCAATAGTTTACTAATGGGAAGAGTTGCTAATATATATAAACCCTTTTAATACATTGGGAATATAATCTAAAATGTGTTTGAAATAATGCAGAGCATCCATTGCATTTTTTGGGACTATATCAACCATAGTTAATCTTATAAACATAGTTATTCAGCTAATAAGGCATCATGAGATACTTTAACATCTTCATGATAAAAATCCAACAAATATATTTTTTTCTATCACTATCTGAAAAAGGTTGGGAAGGCTTTTTATGGAAGTAATATTTGCAGATTGTTAAGTACTGCATGATGAATTAAAAACCTCATTTATTTGGGTTATAAATGTATTATCTGTATCTAAGATATATACTCTTCTACTGATCCTATATTAATGTTTTAACTATGAGCTTGCCTTGCTGCAAGTCGAGTGAGACAAATATTAAACACGTATAGCTCTGCTTTTGACTAACAATAACATATAAAATTCTTCATCAACATTAGTCCTAATTTCTTTGTATTCTAATAAAATGCTCTCCGCTATTCTTATCTTCTTAATCAAGTTAATGTCATGTTTTTGAAAAGTAATACTAATTAAATAATACATTCTAATGAGAAATAAAATTTGGAATAAGCATTGAATCCAATAATTTTCTTGCTTCTGAGGAAATATTTCTTTCAGGCCATTGTGATATTTCAGTAATAGCAAATAATTGGCTCTTCTAACTCCTTAAAAGCTGTTACCGCTTGATGGCAGAAACTCTATCTGACAAGGTTGCAATTTCTTTTTCCCTGTTGGACAAGAAGTTTCAGAAATATTTATTATTTGACTAGAAATTTGAAAATGGTAGATAAATATTACGCCACTAAAAATTTGAAAATAATAAGTAAATATTACGCCGGAACTTGAAATCGAAATTAATTGATAAAATAACTTAGTAGATAAATGTGATAATAAATGTAATTAAATATATATTTAAGATGGATACGAATAAATATTAACAAATATAAATTAATATAAACAATAATATTTTTAAAAAATATATCCGGTATCTGCATTTTTCCCCCGCTGCGTACGCCAATGGTTGTTGAAGAATCTGTATGTGATATTTGTCCTATAGAGATTACAAGTAATATATTAAATGAAGAAATATTTTGGACAAAAAATTTAAAATTTTTAGATATATACTTAAACCTTTAGCTACCTTTTGAAAGTGCAAGGGGATAAATGTACTTAGCTCATGTAAAAAACGAAATGCTTAATTTGGAAAAACACATAATACAATCATGCCATGATTCTATATTTTCTCCATCTGAAGGAAAAAAAATTAAAGTTATGTTGGAAAAGAGAAAAAATGATCTAAATACATGTGCTCACAATGCTGCTTATTTATTGGACCCTCAATATCAAGGGGAGCATCTTACTAGCACTGAATTTGATGAAGCATGTAATATGATACAAGAATTAGGTATTTTACAGGGTGGTGATAATCAAAATATTTTAAGTGATATAATAAATTTCAAAAGTAAAAGCGGCAAATTTAATAGCCAAAATATGTAGAAAATGGTAATTTCCATAAGGAACAATCAAATTTCAGCCTCAAGTTGGTGGAATGCACTTTGCCCATTAAGAAAAGCTAATATTTTATTAACATTTCCTAGTTCAACTTCTTCATCAGAAAGAAATTGGTCGGTTTGGGAAAATATTCATACGAAAAACAGAAATCGTTTGAAGATTTCTACAACAGGAAAATTGGTAAGAGTATACCATAATTTAAGATTGATTAAAAATATTAGAGAAAATAATGATATTATCTATGAATCGGAACAAGACTCTTCTATGGAGGACGAAACAACTATAGAATGAATTAAAAAAACATTATGAAATTTAATGTTACATAGATTTATTATAATATTATATATATACAAAATAAAGTTAATAATGGCGTAAAAAACATTTATTTGAATTTGACCATATTTGACCGGTCAAATATCGGTCATGTGACCGAATCGTATTTGACCGGTTAAATGCACAACCCTGGTACATATAATTACTGGAACCTTCGAAAATGATTTAAAAAATATCTTTGTAATGTGATAGCCAAACAAATTATATATTTTCAACTAAGAATATGTTAGTAATGGATAAATCATAAGTTTTTATTGAATGTACTAAATGATTGAAATAAGTATGTTACATAGATAGTCTCTGCCCAGCTTTAAAAATTTTAAAACTATGGTTGAAATAGTTGAATCGAAAAACTCTAAATTTAAATAAATATATTAAAATCCATTAATATTATTTTATAGTAGCTAAAAAAAATTGCGAGAAAAGCAAAATATAGATCACCCACTTCCAGAAACAAATAAGCAGAAGGACTGGGATGGGCCTATTCTTGCAAACTGAGTTGAATCACTCGTTTACAGAATGCAATTATCCGACCGTCATTTTCTCGCTGCTTAATGAATCTGGCCATGAGCTACTTGAAGTTATTTCCTCTATTATTTTACAATTAAAACTTAACCAAAATGAGCTCACTCTCGTTTAAACTGCCTAATAACCCCACTACACACTTGTTCAGGATGTCTGCAGTTTTGGGTAATGGAAGACATAGCCTCCATTGTCGTTCTTTTAAATGTCGAATAGTTAAGCATAATTTATGCAATTTGATTATCCTTAGAGCTTTGAGATCTGCTCAAATTCCCTCTAAAAGGTCTTGATGGGATTTCTCAAACTACTTAGAAGTGTGTGTTATATATATATATGTATTTTTTTGTTATTTGGCAAGTCATTTTTATCAAATTTTATTGTTATTTTGTCAAATCATTTTATCAAAATTAATATTGTTCTTTTGTCATCAATAAATATTGTTATTTTAGTGAGTCAGCATTATCGTGAAAAAATTTATTTTTATTTTTGAAGATTATTAACAAATTTATATTTATTTCGCAAATTAAAAAGGAAAAAATAATCAATTCTTATTTTTGTTTCACGATTAATAAATTATTAAACGTTTTTATAATTGTGAATTATATATGGGAAATTAATAAAACAAAGCTGTAGAGTATAAATCAAAAAGGTTTAAAGAATTTAAGAGTTGTAAAGTGTAAAAATTATAAAAGTGTGTTTCCTGGTCTAGGATTACTCGTGTATTTTGGCTCCATCCAATCAAAAACTCAACATACTGGAGAAAAGAATTACTTAAAATAACAAAATATTCTAAAATATCACAAGAATACATATTCATTTCCATTATTTCCACAACCTTGGGAATTGTGCATTATCCTTTTTTGGGAAACTTGTTGGCTCACATATTCGTAAACTTATGGATGAACCTCGCGATGCTTTTTCTTAAAACAAAGACTCGTCAGAGCGATTCACAGTGCTAATTATATTAGCTTCATGTGCAGCCTCATCCCACAAGATTAGTTTTAACATTAATATTTTTGTGCGCGTTGTTTTTCTTTTTTTTTATATATAACATATATATATGTATATTCTTGTGATATCTTTATTATCCTTATTATATTTATAATATTATTTTGAAAAATAAAAAATACTTTGATAATAATAATAACAAGCATGGTAGCTCAATATAAAAGCGTGTGCTTTTGAAATGGAGGTTCCGGGTTCGATACTGGTAGATAGCAAAAAATTAACATTACATATAGTCTCCTAAAATTTTAATACGTTAAGATGATTGGAAAACGACATGTTTTGATTATGGGCCAAATTTCTTAAAGTAGTTGGAGACAAATAATTTTTGTTTTTATTTTGGGTTGGGCCTGGCGAGACAAATAATTTAAATTTCGAGCTTGGCTAAAACCATGCTAGATGCAGAACTATAGCATAATACAGAATTTGAAGGAGATCATAAACATTTTCTTAAGATTGAGTTATTTTTTAGGCTAAAACCTAGAGGCTGAGGTGAGTTTTCGAAAAAAAATATCGCAGTTATTTATAATAGGTTTAAAACCAGCGTAAATAGAGCTCGTTTACACCATCGAAAACATACCTCGGAATGTGAAGCGACTGAGGAAGATGGGTGGCGGGAAGCATTCATGGGGGAGGGCTGTAAAATTTCGTCATCTAATTCTTCCTCTTCTTGATCATCATTATGTAGATCCTCGTCGATATCCAAGTTCTCGTCCTCGTCCACTTGCACTTCCACATCTTCCTGGCTGTTGTAATCTTCCTCGTTGTCGCTGAGAGTGGTTCATAAAAATAAAGTGAATTACTTTCAAACGGTTTCATGTAGGAGGATGGACAAAGAAAAAAAACCTTTCTGATTGCTTAATATTCAATAATCCTATAGTAATTAATTTAGATTCCAGTACTTATATTATTATTTATAAATAATATATCATAAAATCTACAATGAAATTTTTAAAAGGCTGTCCTAGTATAATAGACCATTTACACGATAATAAATTTATTATATCGGCAATAACTAAAAATTTGAAGTGTCAAAATAACAAGAACATATATATGAATATAATATATTAATAAGCCAAATTAAATATCTATATTTCTTTAATTACTATAGTTGGAGGCAGGGAGTCGAATATGTATAGTTAGTTTTCAGTTTAAAATTTCAAATTCCATTTGAACAAATTTTTATCGGTTCATTTTTATAAGTTTTAAATATATTTTATGACCCAAAATATTGATAAAAATATTTAAAACTTTGAAATAAAAGCTAACAAATATTTCAAAAAACAAAAATTAAAGAAAGTGAATTAAATTTATTTATAAACCATGAATAAAAAATAACAAATTATAACTGACCACATATATGAAAATTAAATTTTTTAGATTAATTTGCCAACAATTTAAAAAAATATATCATTCCAAAAACCGTTATGTACCGGGTCGACAGTATTTATAATGGTTTGGTTTTCTCCTTTTAAAATATTTCTATATATTTTGGTTATGGTTCGGAAATTTAACGTTTATTTCGGTTTCGCGTTTCGTTTCAATACCCTGTGTAGAGGATACCAAGTTAATTGGTTATTAGTGTATTATATTAAATCAATGCAATAATTATTTAAAATAAAATAGTCAGAATTCTGAAAAATTAGTCCTGACAACTGAAAAGGCTAAAATTGCAAAGTATTCTTTTTTTAATGTTTAATTACCAACAATACTGAGTAAAAATAGATCATTACTCATATGAATAAAATTTAACTAAGTGTAGAGATGCAACAAGAAAAAAGTATGCTAAAATATTCTAGAACTGCTAGATTTTTTGGAAATTATTTGGCAAATAAAATGTACCATCTAAATATAAAATATCAAGTTTATAATGCATCTAAAAATCAAAAGAAATCTAAAAATCGGTAAATTTAACAAAAAGATATTTCCATTAAAGGTCTGCAAGGCCTGGCTCGTTAACATTTTAATAAAAATGGTCAAGGCCTAATTTTTTTTGTATGAATTCTCGGCGATTACATTTTTTATATCTACATCTAATTTTTCATAATGTCAATTGAGGTTCTTATATTTCTTCTCTATAGTTATTTAGGTTGTGTTTAAAAATATTGCAGATTCATTTATTTGTTTTTTAATTATAAATTGTCTGTATAAAATTAAATGCTTATATAATTATTTTATTTATTTCTTAAAAAAGATATATATATATTTTATTATTAAAAAGACTTTTACTATTTACATTTTGGGTCATTCCATGACAAATCAACCACGATTCGGCTGACCCCCTTCGATTTTTTTAAAATTTGGTAAGCAAAGAAAGGTCGATGTAACTAAGAAATAGCCAAAATTTTAGCCTCCTAACATTTATATTTTTGAAGATATTAGGGTTCAAAGTGTCAAAAATGACGTATTTTTACCATTATCTGCCTTCATTCAATTAAGCATATCTTAAAAACTACATAATTGTAAATAACAAATTTAATATCAAAATTACGTACAAAGATTCTACTTTTAGATAAAAAAAAATTTTTATTTTTTTTCCCAATTTCCGGTCATTTTATTTAATATATAAGGACTAAAAACGATTTTTTGGAAATAATACGACCTTCAATTTTTTTAAAAAATTTAGTAGACATTATTAAACTCTTCCTTTATATTTATAAAAAAAAATTGGTCTGGGACGCGGCCATCTTCATTCTCAAAATCGATAAAAATGTTTAGAAAAGTGTATAAATATTTTCCCGAAAGAAGGCGTCTTTGTATAAAATTATATATTAATCAGTTTTTAATGGTTTTTCTTGGACTATTTGATATAATTTAAAGGATTATTCATCTTGTAAGTGAAAATAACAATAAATGGGGCTTTCATTCAATTATAGAAATTGTCTATCGATAAAAGAAATTCAATTTATTACTTTATTATAAAATTTTTTGCCCATATAACATATACTTAATGAATATTAATAAAATATATTCAACCAAGTTTATAGTTCTTGAATATATGAATCAGAATCTTGTTCATTTCATAGACGCCAAAAATAATATCAAAATTTTCTCTACTCAATTTTTTAAAATAATTTGAAATTTTTAAAATATTACAAATATTAATTTATTATTATTATGAAATTATATACAAAATAAAAGTATTATCATAAAATTACCCAAAACAATATAAATATTGGATCGGATTTTCTAAAATCGGCATAGTCTTTCTAAATTAGAATAACAATAAATAAGTGTTTCAATCAATAAAATAAATAAAAATTTTAAAATTGATTAACCCTTTCGCGCCCAGCGAGATCATTTGTCATTAAAATTTTTAATCAATTAATTTTTATATTTAAAGAAACTAATGGTTGGTACTTAGAGATATTAATTTATAAAACAATATTTATTATTTCATATTTTATCATTAACCTGTCAAAATCATTATTTTATTATGTCAAAATGATTATTTTATTATATCAAAGTACAAGTATTTTTTGTTTATGGGAAATATTTCAAGCGCGAAAGGGTTTTATTCATTCAATAACACATACTCACTATATTAATTCATTTTTTAATAAATTTCTTGGTATTTTGATTTCCATCAACACCTAACCCCAAGCCTGGAAAAACTATAGACGAATATACAGTTAAAATTGTACAAGAATTTTATTGTATGGACGAAATAAGAAGAATCATACCAGACAAGAAAGATTGCGTTTCGATTTTGACCAAAGACGGAAAAAAGAATACCATAAGAGATTAATTTTAGATAATTGGAAAAAAATTTATATATTTTTTAAAGAAATGAGGCCTGATGTTAAAATTGGTTTTTCGAAATTCGCAAGCATTCGCCCAAAAATTGTATACTCGTTGAAGGTAGTGGTACACATGTATGTGATTGCAGCTACCACCAAAATTTAAATTAATGATCATTGGATCAAATTTAACCAATGATATGTTGCCCTTTAAAACATACAAACATATTTTACACTTAATAATTTGTAATTCGCCTCAACCATCCATTTATATGGGCAAATGTGATAATTGTCCAGGGTCAACACATTTACGCGATCAAATAGAAATATTGTTTCGTTCTAAGGACATCGAATTTATAACATACAAACAATGGCTATCCGTAGATAGAACCACCCTTGAAACAATAACCAAACCAGTAGGTGAATTTATTAATGCCTTTTTAAAATAAATGGAATCTTTATCATTTTTTTATTTCAACGCAACAATCGTTGTACCAAAACAATCTAAAATTGAACTTAGACGAAGACCAATATTTAATTTTGTGATTTTTAAGAAAACTATAGCTTTATACTTTAGGATGAAGTACAAAATTATCATTGGAATAGGGCTCAATCCACTGTTCACCCTTTTGTTATATATTATAAAGATAATTTTGCCAATATTTGTTGCCTAAATTATGTAATGATATCCGAATCTTTGCAACACAATACAATAGCAGTACATAATTTTAAAAAAACATTGCTAAATTTTTTAATTAATAAAATTTTTTATTTTTCGGTGGATCCGCTGCACAGTACAAAAACGTAAAATTTTTATTAATATTTGCCATCATGAGATGGATTTCGGGGTACAGGCGAAATGGCATTTTTCTGCTACAGCACAAGGGAAAAGTGTTTGTGATGGGATTGGTGGCACTGTTAAAAGATTAGCCGCTAGAGCTAGTTTACAAGGCCTTACTCAAAGTACACATCATATGAATTGTACGAGTTAGCTAAAGAAAATATTAATGTCATATATTTTGAATAGATGACCAAAATAAATTATGATTACGAAGATCTATTACTCAGGGAAAGATTTTCAAAAACTAGATCTATACCTGGAACACACAAAATACACCTTGATTCCAACAGATCTACATAATTTAAAAGTAAAATATATTCCAATTTAATAGAAAGTACTTTGGAATAGTTATCATATAATGATGAAAGTATAATTATTGAAGAAATATCATGATACCTAACTTATTTTTATGATTCTAATTGGTGGTTAGCTTTGTTTTAGTGAAAAATCAAAAGCAGGAAGAAATATATATAAAGTTTCTACACCCATCCGGACCTTCAAATTCCTTTACATTTCCAAGATAGACGACACTCTTTGCTTGCCCAAATGTCATATCTTAACATTAGTTTCACTGTTAAATGCTACTGGCCGTAGTTATACTATACATTGTCGTCACAAGAAAGTAAATGCGCTACCGAAAAATTAGAATCTTTTAAAAGTAAGTTTAAATTTAAATTATAGTAATTTTTTTAATATTTAGGGCGCCATATATGAAATGCACAAGATTCTGATTCATATATTCAAGAACTCGAAACTTAATTAAACATATTTTATTAATATTTATTAAATATATGTTATATGGGCAAAAATTTTTATAATAAATTATAAATAAAGTAATAAATTGAATTTCTGTTATCGTTAGACAATTTCTATAATTGAATGAAAGCCCCATTTATTGTTATTTTCACTTACAAGATGAATAATCCTTTAAATTATATCAAATAGTCCAAGAAAAACCATTAAAAAATTATTAATATATAATTTTATACAAAGACGCCCCCTTTCGGGGAAATATTTATACACTTTTCTAAACATTTTTATCGATTTTGAGAATGAAGATGGCCGCGTCCCAGACCAATTTTTTTTTATAAATATAAAGGAAGAGTTTAATAATGTCTACTAAATTTTTTAAAAAAATTGAAGGTCGTATTATTTCCAAAAAATCGTTTTTAGTCCTTATATATTAAAT